GTAAAAATATGTTTTATGTTTATTTAATTAAGTTAATCATATTTTATGTTAATTTAATTAACTCAATCACATGAGTAATTAAAATCACTATAAAATGTATTTCGAGAATACGTTTTATAATATAAAACGTATTATCAAAATACGTGGTTTTTATTTTTATCCTCCTCTTTTTTTTTCCACTTAATTTTTTGTTTTTTTTTTTTTTGTTTAAATAAATAAATCCATCAATGCACGTATACATACAAATCCTATCACGTACGCACGATTTTCTGAATTGTTCAAAAACGGAAAATCGAAGGCCAATAACTCAAAAACTAATAAAATGGGAAAATCGTGTTGAATTATCGGTCAACCAAATAAGGAAGAAAACATTAGAAAGACTTTTGTCGGTCACCAAATACACGGGAAACCTTTCAACTTTTCAAATGTTAATGTTATTTAGTCATGGGAAATTTTTACATGTACTTACAGATTTTAAGGTAATTGCGAAATTACCATCCAAACAAAAATATTTGTTTATATACCTAATATATAAAAAGTATTTATAAGCATGCCTAAAAAATCGTTTCGTGGATTGTGAACAGTTACGTGGATGCTGAACACTTCCATAATTTTAGGGGCACAATATCAGCTTTTCAAATATTGAAAAGATATTATATTTGAATGTTAACTGCATAATCATCGTTGGACCGCATGTTGTTACAATAACAATACAATGTTATGTAACAAGACATATAACCCTACATATATACCAGAAACAGAACATAACCAGACATGTAACCCTACATATATACCCGACATATACCAAAAACTGAACAATGTTCTGTAACCGAGCATATAACCGTAACATATATACCATATATATAACCGTTATATATTCTATCATAAAACATAACAAATATACCAATTCACAGTGAACACAAGATATAAAAATAAAATAAAAAAAAAAAGCAACTTATATACACTTTGATATACCGAAGATATACATATAACAAAAAAAAATAATAAAAAACCGAAAAATATACTATACATATACTCCAAAAATAAGTGAAACGAAAAAAAATCTCAAAAATCATCTTCTTCAACCTCCCGCAAACTTCTCATAAATATACTCCCTCCCCGTCCTAAGATCCGAATTCTCATCTCCTCCACCTCTCGGCATCAGCACCCTTCCAATCTCCCGCAGCGGTAGCGGCTCTCCGGCAGCGGCTTCACGGCTTCAATCTCAAATTGTTTTTTTTATCAATCTGGGGTGCTTCTTCTTCTTCTTCGTTCGCCGTTTTCTTCCATGGATCTTGGGAGATTTTGATTGACGGGAGGGAAGTTTTTTTTTTCCTTCTGCAAGAGGTTTCAATTTCCCGAGGATCGCGTCCTTAATTATCTGATATAAATGCAACTTCTGATTTTTAGGTAGATTAGCAATATTTTACGGTTTAATTGGTGATTATATAAATATTTAAGTAATGGTAGTACATTTATAATATATTAGGGAAGAGGAAGTATGTGGTGCAATTTCCTCTTTAGTCATTGCATTAAGTTACAATATGAATAGTACAGTTTTATGATAATTTTGTAGTGATTACGTACGTAACCTTTATTTAGATTGTTAAATCCAAGTAAAATTTTAAAATAATTTCATAATTCATTAAAAAACGATGACAAATTGAAATATAACATAATTATTCAAAAGAGCCTGATATTGAAAAAAAAAAAAGAAAGAAAAATCACGGCTTAAGTTCCTTCTTTATAATTTTAATTATTCCGCAACTTGTTAATCCACTAGTAAGATTTCGAGTGTAATTTACCTAAATGTCATACACTTTCTAAATTTAATTATTGCCTCAAACTGAATAATGTACCCAAAATTTGCTCCAAAAACACGAGTAATTATGAATTCAACTGCATTATATATATATAGGTAAAATTGCAATTTTAATCCTTTTCTTTGATCCCATGGTGATTTTAGTTTTAATATTTGAACATTTTGTTATTGGTCCTATGACTTACAAATTCAACGCAGTTTCAGTCATTTGAGGACAAAAATTGCAACAAAATTTTGAATTACAGGACTTAAAGTGCTAATAAAAAAATTTTGGGATGAATTTTTTATTAGCAACTTAAGTCATATAATTTAAAATTTTGTTGCAATTTTAGTCCCCAAAAGACTGAAATTGCAGCGAAACACTAAATTACAATATTAAAAAGCAAAAAGTTGAAATTTTAAAACTAAAAATACTATGACGTTAAACTAACATGACTAAAAATGCAATTTTACCTAACATGACTAAAAGCAAAAAGTTGAAACTTTAAGAGCATGTTTGGATATGAAAATTTTTGGTTTTGTTGGATTTTTTTGGTTTGGTTTGGTTAATTTTGAAAAATGTAGTATGGTTAATTGTTAGTAGGTATATTAAACTAATATTTAAAATAAAATAATTAAAATTTGATGTGATTGTTAGTTAAAATAATGTAAGTGAATGAATAGTGAATTAAGGTTGATGTGATGTGTATAAATGATTGGTTGGTATTGTTTTATTATATTGATAATATTGATGATAGTAGGGTTGAGTTAAAGTTGAGTTGAAAAAAGTGGTTAAGTTAAAATGTTGAAATTTTTTGTGAGAATTCTTGTATACAAACATGCTCTAAATGATCGGCATTTGAAGTGATCAAACCCCAAATTGCAATTGCAAATTAGACATCTTAGCTAGTCAACTTAGATCCCAAGGTAAAAGGTTAGGTTTGACATAGTCTATTATGTCTATATCTCTTGCACACTTGCAGTTGACCAAACTGCCTCGAATTGCAATACTCCAATATCGACATGGTCACCTAGACGTCGGTAAATTGCGGAATTATATCATTATTTTTGAACTCTATAGTAATTATGCAAAAGATAGGGACAAATATGTAAGAAAAAAAAAATTAGAAATAAAATTGTGCTTGCACATTCATTAGGTTTTTTTTATCTTTGATGGCACTTTTTGGTGAGTGCACTTTGTATGGTGGTGAGTAGATGGAAACCATGTGGTGGGTTTACACCTCACCAATATATATATATATATA